GAACTAGAAATCTTGTCAATTCAATGCACAATTTAGATCGGTTGAATAACGAAATTTCTTATCCGACTACCAAAAAAGCTGTTATAGCATACTTTAGAAAGCTATAAGATTCTGATGATGGCATTGTGTTAATGGGTATCACTCCTGACTAGAAAGAAAAGTTTTTTGATTTTTTTGGTCAAAAGAATACTTCTAGTTTCGAGGAGGTATCCAGTATGATTAAGACTTACAAGTCTTCTGCAGCTGACATAGCTGTCATTGCTCTTGTTGCCAAGAAAAAATGATACGGTAATAGGCAAAAACATATCAGTAAGATCTGCAAATGTTCTCACGCCACTTGGAAATGCCCCGATACTAAAAGGACTGCATCCAGGACAACAAACAAACTAAGTGAGAAAGAGATCTGGGAAAATGGGTTGATCAGTCGTTATAACACGACAGGCTCTATCTCAGATGCTCAAGTTGAGGGAGTTTGGATGGCTTGTTAATCTCAATGATTTTGTTTTAATTCCAATATTTTCTCCTCTACCTCTTTGGGTTGTAGACACAGGATGTAACACTCACTTATCATGTAACAGAGAATCGATCTCTAAATTTAGGCCGTCCATAAATAACGGTACTATTAGTGGTGTAGCCGGTGCTGTTAAAATAAGAGGTTGAGGTTATGTTAGGGTTGCTGGACTAACTCTTTGTGCCGTTGCTCGTGTTCCCCGACTTACTAATTAATTTAATTTCCATTCGTCAAACCTCCAAAAAGTTGGATTGTTATTTTTCATCTGATCACACAAATGTTTAAATGTAATCTACCAATATGAAACTAATCAAGATTGGAAGTCTGTATAAGAAACTGTACATTCTCGATCAATCCTTGTCCAAGACTAATGTAATACAAATGTTTTTCGTTGCCATTTGTGACCCCTATTATATTCTGATGTAAAAATTTGTCTCGACTGCTATTATTTGATATGTTTGCTTATCTCAGACTGTGCTACCCCATCAATCTGGAGTGAAGCTGTGTTGTGTGAAGTTTCCTTCATTAATCAAATTCTTATCAAATCCCGAAAGAATAAGATTCCCGTATCTGAGTGGAATCAAATTAAATTACCACTTAATAGTTTTAATCATTTACGTACTTTTGGATGTGTGGCCGCCGCAACTATTCCACACCAACTTCGTGAAGGGAAATTTGCTTCAGATGACATTCAAATTGTAATGCTCGGTTACGACTCTGACCACAATGGCTATAGAATATTCTAACTTGAGTCCGGCAAAGTTTTTGTTAGTAATCAAGTTACTATTGATGAATCTAATTTTCTGCTTGAAGGCCTCGACCTCACTGTAGATACTCATAAGTTTGCTACCGGTACATTGAATGGTACACCGTGCTACTCCAGTTATATATCTGCATTCGCGGGGGCATTCTATTACCAGAGTTTTCGGCTGTTTCCTCACGTTCTCTACATCCTCTGTCCTTACCAAATGAAAGCACTGATGCTACTAAAGCAGACAGTAATTATCAAATTGACATTGATAACTCATATGCGCAAAACTACTGCCCGTCTACACCCCGTCGATTGTTCTCAATTCATCGGTTGAAATTGATCATCATTTTAATGGGTGCAAATTGTAATATCGTTAGAATTAGAAGCTTAGCCAGGAAGGCAGTACAGCCAACATAACTGGCATCTAATTGAATTGATTAGATGAAATCCTTAAGTTATATAAAGGGATAGTGTTTTGTCTTATTGAAACTATTACTGCCCTCCCTTTAATCCTTCTATAATTGTATATAATACAAACAAGGATTAGCTTCCCAATAAAATAATTTGACATGAATCAACAAATAAATGATAACTTGGAAACTGTTAATAGCTCATTATCGGTTTCGAACCTGAGTCAACACATATTAACATTTCAGCCATTATTATTAAGTGCACAGTTTCTTTTAGAAAAATCGTTCTTGTTAATCAACTTTTGAACTTCGGGACAATTTTCCAAATTGTGAGAAGCTTTGCAGATTTTGCAAACAGTTTTCTTCTTATTATTATTATTGCTGTTGTTGTAGAATTTCTTCTTCTGAGCAACAAAAGCAGCGGTGTTAGTAGATGAATCAGAAGATTTGCTAATCTCCAGTCTTTCTACCATTTTTTCTACTTCATGGTATGGAACAGAACTTCTTGAACCGTGGAAGTCACCAAACTTCTCTTCCAATTCTGGAGTGATGGCCATAAGCAATAGAGCCGCAGCAGACTCCTGCATTTTCTGGTAATGATTAATAACAGCAGCTCTAAGAACTGGGTCCTCAACAACATTTTTAAGGTCAAGATCTTCATTACAGTTATAAACTGTCTCAATGAATTTCTTCGCCCATAATACCCTATCATCTGGAGGTTTAGACACAGCGGAGTTTACTTGCTCAAAAATTGGCATGTATGAACTAAGGCATTTCCTAGCATATTTGCATTTCAAGTAACGTAAAAGTAAAAGCCCGGTTGGACCATCTGTTTTAGTAGTAAAAAAGCTTGTTTCAATATTTTTTCCAATTTCTTTAGAAACACTATTGATAATAAGCGAAATAAGATAAAAATCTAAGTCATCCTTTATCGAATTGATATGAGCGTCAGTAAATCCATATTCTACCCTAACAGAGTTGATATCTCCAGTCTCAACATATTCTCTCCAAATAGGACTGGTGCGACCAACTACCCGTATAAAGTAATGAAACCAAATATCGTAGTTTTGGGTGTCAGATAGTTTAATGGGAATTATATTGGTAGCATATGCACGGTTCATAACCTGTGTGCGCAGGTTCGAAGCCATGATGATACCTACATCTGTAGATGGTGGGACAAACTTGTCACTTTTATCCACTGATTGAGGAAATGCTTTTGCATCTCTAGGTTCAACAGTTAAATCCATCGATGGTATTACTACAGCTTTTTTTCTCATATCATCGAAACAATGAGGTGCTTTATCCAAGATTTCATCTTTAGAAAGACTGTCGTCCTTTTTAATATCCCAAATTATGTCACGACGGGAGTTACAACATGTTGAACCCCTCATTTCCGATGGACTTTCAGCACTATATTTTAAGTTCATAAAAGTTTCTAATGGGTCAGATAACTGGTAGTACAAATATTTATTAGGTTCGTTATTGTACTGAATAGGAATAATACTGTACTTTGAGAGCTGATTCGCATTATCTTCGGAAGAAATTGGTTCATATCCAGAGGGTAGTGAATAATCATATTTTAAATTTTGAGGCCCTCCCATAAAGATAGTATTGGTATTTCCAAAAAGATTTTTGAATAATTTTTCGCACGACCACGGAATAAAGGTTTGATTGGGGTACTCTTGGAACAATTTTTCTGAATCCAAGAAATTCTTGCCATTAAATTCAGTCTGCTGTTTTTCGGTTAGAAATTTTAAATGATCTTTATAGGACACTATAGTAGAGTTAAGATAGAAATAACCAGAGTTCCCTTCCTCATATTTCCTTCGTATAAATAGTCCATCAGAGATTCTGTAAGAAAATTCTGGTTCAGAAGACGTATTGGAAGAAGTATCAGAGGGCATAGGAATGCTAAAAAAATTAAACAATTTATAGAATCGAAGGTACTTCTGAGGTGTATTTCCCCCCTAATTTAATCTGCCAGCAGTGGTGATTGTTATTAAACTTGCAATAAAATATCCCAAATGTGGTTTATTCAGATTCATCTTTCTAAAATATGTTCGATTCGATGTGCTGCATCTCGAAGTTGGTTAGATCAGTCAAAAAAAAATATGTGAAACAGTATTGGATATTTACCGTATACAACGATAAACCTGCTAGTTATACATAAGGAATTTGGTGCCCAATAACTAAAAGTTTAGGTAGGGTACTTGATAAACTATGTAACTATGGTAATGAGTGCGTAAATCTAAAATTATAAAAGTTGTTTATAGATACTTAATCCTAGTTTGAATTGATATCTTGTTTGATTAATTCGATGAATATATTATTAGCTCTTAATAAATTATTTTGTCTTAGTCTTTTTATACAAATGAATGTAAATTATTGAAAGTTATTATCTAGACAGTTAGCAATAAATAGAGCGAGGTACCAATTTCTTTGTATGATAGAAAAAATAAATGTCGTTATTCATATTTTTTCTTTTATTATGTGGCTCTCATTTATAGACGCTGTTTACTTCCATTATTCAACAAACTCATCAATGTTGGTAGTTCCAACAGCTTACCCCGCCTCGACCCGCTGGAGCTCTCTCACTACCAAAACATCACCGCTTACAAACACAAATAATATGACAGCACTCAAATATATATGACATCCACACACATATCTACAACCATACTCAAACATGTAGTATAACCCATTATGACAACACTTCTAATGTCACAACTACATTCCATCCCTCCAGGAAACATATAAAAGGACCATAAAAAATTCCTTTATTCAATCCTGATTTCTGTCATTATAAAGTTGTAATGTAATATTATTTATTACTGATATATCCACTAGATACTTCTTTTATAGGAGACCAGATAGACTTCCAATATTTTATATCTATATTTATATCTATGAGACACATAGCTCGCGGATAGATACTTTATTAAATACCTATTTAATATCATTACTAAGTCCACGTGACTTGTCATTTTGCATTTAAAAGGTCCAATATAACCCAAGGGTGGTAATTCCCTGTCTATCAAGTCCTGGCTAGACCTGTACTATTTTTATATATACCCAATCTCATTGTTTTGCAAAAAAGATCTAATACCAGAGGTAAATTAAGTGATTATGTCCTTTGGATGAAGGAAGCTATTTAAGGAACGAGATAAGAATTATTTCTGAGGGAAGAATAGGTTCTATTAAAATTAATCTTAGATTATTTTTCATAGCTTTAGATTATATAACTACTTTGTTGACAATTAGCACTGTATTAAAATTTTGAACCCTACAAATGTTTGAGTTCTTTTTGGAGGAAGGTGAGCCTGGAAATGAAATGTCGAGAATAACCATCGAACCAAATATATCATTTCTTCCACTGTGGAGACTCATTTTTTTCGCCTGTGGAGTATTCATATTGATTTATTTATATTCACTCTACCGTTTCTTTAATCTGATTAGAAATCAAGTGAACCCAGAAGTGGTATTTATACTTTCTATTATCTGGCTATTAGGAACTATTGCTATTGTAATTTTTACAACAGGTCCAAACGTGTTTTCCATTACTTTTCTAATTATTTCAATCATCTTCTCTTTATTATCAGCCCTATTTGGCCAAGTTCCAATGATGTCTAACAAGGCTCAACTACAGAACTCAAGAATTGAACAGAACAGTAAATTGTAGTTATGCTAAATATCCATACATTTGAAAGTATATAGACGTTTCAGTTTTTCTACTGTAATAAATAATATCAAAGTTTTATATATATATGAGTGAGACTGGGAATAACAACCGTTTAAGTGCTCATGTGAACAGTTCTAACAGTTTACCGACTATTATTCATATTTTTATGCTCTGTCTTCCATTTTATATAAAGATCAATTTTTCTCTTACCATGGTTTGGGAATTGCTTTGCAATACATATATAAAAATAAATATATTTATACTACTATTAACCTTAGAATGGCAACCATTAATGATAATTTTTATTTCACATTTGTGTTTAACTTCCTGTCTGTCAAAGTTTTTTAATTCTTTTCTATCAATCAAATATTGATATTTTTGATTCCTGATTGGTTCTGTAGATAATTCCTTTCCTATTGAATTATGCTTACTGCAACATCTTGTTTGATTGTGACCCTTATAGTTTCCATTATTTGATTTTCTACATTATTACAAAGATAGGTTTGATGAAAGTTACTATGAGGCTATCTTTTGTTAGCAAAATACATATAGATGTTTATTAATAAAATAGTTATATAAGTCTAACAATAATAATACATATATATACATATATGGCTATATATTTATCTAATAAGTGAGATATTCGTTGGCACCTTGATTCAGAATAGAAAATCTTGTTTGATTTTGGAATTAATGACATTACCCATTCTAATAATAAATCAAGAAGCCATTTAACAAACACTTCGCAAAAATGTTATAAAAATAGACAAAAACCTGTTCCATTTTTAACATGATTAATAATGGAATACGTTATGAAACATATTTCTATCCTTCCCGAATACCTAGTCAGATGTCAACATACTCTCATAAAACTCTTGTAGTTTCCCGGAGCTTGAAGTGTTGGCCCAAATTTCATAGTAAGTTTTATTTCCACCACTAATTTCCTTCAAAATAAGTTTGGTATCGTCCTCATTGGTGTAGTCGTGGGCTTGTCCGTTATGGTTAATGAAGATGTTTAACAAAACCGCATCCCCCCAACGCTCTCCCAAAACCGCATATTCATACAACTCAATAGAATTAGCTATAACCCTACCATTGTTTAAACTGTCAAGTGCTACATCTAATTCTGCTCCATATGGTGCTGCCTTGAAGTAGTTAAAGCTACCAGTTGTACCATCATTGACAGTTATATTACCAATAGCAATATTTTCAATAACTTGCCAGTATTCTACTCCCAATGCGTATTTTAGGAAAAAGAAACAGATAGTAAAAATTTGTATTAAAGATGTCTTCATTTTTAATGTTTTATTACTGCCCTCTCTATATTAAAAAGAGTGAACTAGAAAGTGAAGAAAATTAACGATGAGCTTTAAAGTAGAAGAAAAACTTAACGAAGCCATACTTAACAAATGGTTGATATATATATATAAATTAGTTTTAGGAAGACGTAGATTGTAAGAAGGATCTCTATTAGTTTGGTTGTTGCAAGAACCTGAAATGAGAATAAACATCACGGAATGCAATACCACTCCTGACACTTCATGCAACCGAATAGTTGTTGCATCAAGACAAATTTTATATTTCATGGTTGCTATGGTTGTGATTTCTGTAGTATTTTTTAATGTACAATCGTTTTTTACTATTTCGAAACTCATTGGTTAGATATCTCCGCAGACCTACAATCCTGAAGAAATGGTCTTTTCCCAATTTCTTTTTTTTCACCCTCAAGAGCTAGGCGTAGAAGGGGATTCCATGCCTACTCAGTACCGAAACTCAATGACCCTCACTTAATTACTAGTATTGAACCTTTGACGAGTAACTTGAGAAGCCTGATAGACATGTATAGCAATATAAATTAAGGGCTTTGATGAGTATTCTCTTTAGACTTGTTAGTCTTGTAATAATAGAACAATAAAATGAAAATTCATTTAAAGTATATATGAGTATTCGAACTGGTATCTTCTAAAAGAAGTATCTAGTGGATATATCCGTAATAAATAATATTACATTACAACTTTATAATGACAGAAATCAGGATTGGATAAAATAACTTTTCATAGTCCTTTTATATGTTTCCTGGAGGGATGGAATGTAGTTGTGACATTAGAAGTGTTGTCATAATGGGTTATACTACATGTTTGAGTATGGTTAAGGCAAGCCTGTGGTGCTGTCATTTTATTTATATTTGAATGTGGTGATATTTTGGTAGCGATATATCTCACGTGGATCGAGGTAATGTAAACTTAGAGAAGTACCAAGAGAAGGGCCAATACTTCATGCCATTCATTACTTTCTTGTTCGAAAATAAGACAATCGTCTTGAGGAAAATTGGAAAATTTAAGATAAAAAGCTTATAAGAATTATTCACCACCAATGTACCGTGTATACTTCTATTAGATGTAGTAAAAGAACAGGGAGATTCTAGATTATTTACAACTTCATTACAATAAACATAAAACCATGATGCCGATAATATTTTAGAGCATTACACTTCCAGGACCATTATAATCCTGGAAATAACTATACATCGGTGACTAACAAATAAAACCCAATTTGATGTTATAGTAATATGTATTGCTATATGAGACACAGACGTTTCCATTGTTTGCGGATTTTATCAGTGTCTCGAGCTATCTATGAAGAAACAACGGAACTTCATTCTAGCAACTGATAACTGAACTATACAAGATGGTTAAAAATAGCAGAGTACTGTATAACATTACTAGTCTCTACAACAAGGATTATCCCTCAAATGAATCACCTCTTCAATCACTACCATTGAACATTTAAAGCTTTCCGGAATTTTTTTAGTCCTGAACTTGTCAAAACGGCTTATATCTTGCAATAGGGAAATTTCATATAATATTATGATCTTATGAAAAAATAATTAGATTTGTTGCTACTATAGAACTAAAAAACAATTATAAAATCTGGAAAAAATAGTAGATCTTGATATAAACTTCTTCCCATAACTAGATTTGCCAGTACATATAAAAGCTATCATTAAAGAAACAAAATTTTAAGTCGAAATTTGTAAAACAAAATGTTCATTCATCAGTACTTATTTCAAATGTAGTTGTCTTACACTGAACTCTTGAATATCAAATACTCCATCTTTTCCAACGCTCAATTCTACAGATGAAATATAGTTGTAATCTCCAAAAAAGAAGGTATTTGTCGAAACTTGAAAACCATCATTAAAGTATAACTCCATAATGTTTCTATCGATTATACCATATACTTTATATGTACTGATTTCGTCATTAACATAATCAAACGGTTGTAAATTAACTGAAAGCTTATTGGTATAGAATGGGTTTTCATTGACCCAATTGTTAGTAGAATGGCCTCGATCAATAAAGAAACTGTTTACATTAGCCAAATATCCTAATCTTAAATACTCAAATGGATTTAAACCACCTCTTAATTTTAATGATAAATCAGCAAAATCATGATTATCATAACTCGAGCTGTTAACTGACCAAGTTAGATTAAATTCGAGTATGCCTTCACTGGAATTTGAGAATGAATAAATAGAATCCAAAGTAGATAAAGATGACAAGTTTGAAAATTTAATGACGTCTGAATTAGAAGTGAAACAATCATAATCAATAACTGGTTGGGATTTAAGTTTTAGAATTTTGGATTCTGGGTTAGCTTGGAAATATTCTAATGTTAAATTTCTCACCAACGACATTGATGATCTCCAAGGATAGGTTGGAACATATTGACCGTATTGCCAATTTGATGCCCAAGCAACACCCAAAGTAGAATTGTCAGGAGAATTGAAGAATGTTTGGAATGCATAATAATCTTTACCATCATCTAAAGCTTGTGTTTCCCTACTGAATGGGGTAAATACTGTACCATTGAAGTCACCAATAAAATACTCTACATAGGATCCCCCTTGAGGAGCACCAGGATTGATAGAAATAAATAGCACCCATGCGTCTTTAGAAGAGGATGAATTTGGAATAGTTTTGTTGTTTGAACCAGATTCCAATACTACATCTGGTAGAGAAATCTTAGCCAAGCCTGGGCATTCATATTGGTAACCCAAAACACCGACCTTTTCAACTTCAGATTCTAAAGTCCAGTCCTTCAAGTCAGATGAAGAGTAAATTGCAACCTTGTATTCTTGAGTCTTAGCAACAGTCATAATCCATTTTTGAGATTCTTCATGCCAGATAACCTTTGGATCTCTGAATTGGGTAGAGTTATTAGATAAAACCGGATTAGATTCATATTGAATGAAAGAGTAACCACCATCTAAAGAGTAAGCAACACATTGAACTTCAGCTTCTGGAGTGTTGTACGTGTATATAGCAACAGCTCTTTGTCTTGGATCAGTAGAGGAATTGAAGAATCCAGAAGTATTGTTATAATCAACAACAACAGAACCAGAGTAGAAACCAGTAATGGTGTCGGTTGGAGCCATGGCAATACCAGCGTCATCCCAGATTGTTAAATTCTTTGAAGTCTTGTGACCCCAGACAATTGGCAAAGCCCACACTGTATCATTTGGATTGTATTGGTAATACATATGATAAAGTTCGTCCTTCGAATCATACCACAGACCATTTGGATCGTTCATCCAACCCTCTGGTGGAGTAGCATGAATTAATGGTTTATTATCTTGTGTAGTGTTAAAACTGGATACTGTAAATGGTATAGAAGGGATAGGTATTGAGGTTTCATAGCTGAACGTCAAAGTTGTAAATGATGGAATTGTGTAGGAAGGAATACTGTATGATGGAATACTGTATGATGGGATACTGTATGATGGGATAGTATAGGATGGGATAGTATAGGATGGGATAGTATAGGATGGGATAGTATAGGATGGGATAGTATAGGATGGGATAGTATAGGATGGGATAGTATAGGATGGGATAGTATAGGACGGAATGGTATAGGATGGAATAGTAAATGTAGGTAATTCAATTGCTGCTGAAGATACCAAGCTTACATATAAAGAAACAAAGCAAACAAAACTTTCTATAGTCACCTTCATTTTGAATTCAATTTCAGGTGATACCTTGACTGTTTCGTAACAGTGATAGTTGATTCGCAAGAACCGACATTAAATATAACTATAATTAGGATATTCTCATCTGCTTGTCATCTTATATATATATATATATTTATATTTATATGGGATTATGTGTATCTTAACTCTAATGATTTTGAAATATACCAATCTTCGATCTTAACAGCAAAGCACTACAAAAATGGTTAAGCCCCTTAAAGATACTCCAGTCAAAAATATCATTCAAGCCAATTCACATTGTACTGACATATTCGATGTGTATAAGGCAATACTATACCGTTTTGGGCAAAGCTCAACTATATCTAAAGCATGTCTCTCTGTAATTTTCAATTAATTCTCTCAGGAAACTTAAATGTGCATTTCTCAATAAGCCTCCTCGCACATTCAAAGCCTCCGAACAACAAGTACAAGAGGCAGAGTGGTGAAACAGAAGTTCACAAGATAATAGCCACTATTCTACCAAAATGCGGTGGTGTCTTTCAATAGAGTCAAAA